GCTGTGCATGTGCGTTACAAATCTTTGCACATTTCTTTGCCTTCTACAAAACAACAACGTGAAATGACTAAGTTCTGCGTCTTTTGGAGAACGGGAACGACGGCAGCTAATTTACGTATTTTCATTTGGAATTAATCGCTGGCGTTACATATTTAGCAAGTATGACCAATAGGCGAGTAAACAGATCTAGACAATTGCTAAATTCGAAGGTAGAATATATATTAATTTTTTACTAGGCGTTGTATGCGGGGTCGCCGTCGTCATTGCTTAAGCTCTCCAGTTACTGTTTCATTTAGGGGCCTGTTTCAAACTTCTGCGCATGTCCAGCATTTGATTTAATAGACCGACGGCCCAATGATATAAGTTGCCTTCTCCGAGGAAAATCGTTCTCCATTGACCTTGTGAGGGATGGTGTGAAAGTTGTAGTGACGGTATTAAAGAAATTACCTGCCATTTTTGTAGGGTCCAGTAAAGCATATGAAGGACTGTAGAGAAATTTTTGATGTCCTCGAGGGGAGGTACACGAAGCAGCACGTTCCGTACCAAGGATCAAAGTTTCCAAAGACAAAGGGATATTGATGAAAATATCCGAAAAAAATCTCTTATTATTCTGGGTGGCGCCTCGTACCAAGCCGTTCAATTTCTATTGATTAAAAACCTTCTAATGGACCCTCAAGTGTCAATCAAAGTCGTACAGGCGTCAGAAAAACGAGTCTTGGTGCACAACCTTTTATATGGAAATGAGATTTTCTTGCACGCTCATTGTCTCGCAAATCGAACTCATTTTCATGTGAAGGTTGTGCACCAGAACTGAACTCGGTTTGAAACAGAGGTAAAAAGCAACACGGAAATAACTTATTTAGAAGTAATGAAAATACTTAAGTAGACACCACTGTTATAACTTCTTTATTTAGACAAAATGCTCACGAGTCGTCAATACATAACCAACAACAAAAATATGATATTAATCAGAAAATGTAAATTGGTAAAAAAAAAATAAAATTACAAAGAGAAAAAAGGCCACACCTTTGGTATCTTCCTCCTCTACTATTCGTCTCTAAACGACGTCTTATTACAAAAAGACAGTGTTTAGGATACTTTACTACATAACTAGTTTAGCTGGTCAGGCTGTGGTCTTATTGGGTGCCTTGAGCAATCAAGGTTTTGCTAAGGAGTCAGCCGACCTTTCTTTTATCTTACATTACGAAGAGGCTTCCCGTGTCTTGTAAAAAACGGTGGAAATTTAATTAATTCTTTTTTTACATTTTACATCACCAAAACATTTAAGAATACTATTGCGGCTGCAATTAAGATTGCATTAATGCATGAATGCAGCGAGGATACTGCGGCAGCCTTGGTCGGGATAGGAGGTTTGTCAACTATAACAAGCTGCATGGCACCAACGCCCCTTGCAGCATGTTGATCAAAGTCATTAGGGTTCCTGGTGTCACCACTACCGTAGGCCCA